GTGGCCTGAGGCCTCAGGTGGGCGGATGGATCAGGGACAGCATTTCCCAGACCCAGCAAGTTGAGGCTTGGCTGGCCCTTGCCTGGTGGGCTTGGTCAGCCCTCCTTGGGTGCCCAGCCTTGGTTCTGCTGCATGAACACCCCCCCCCCACCCTGGGCTGCTCTTCTTTGTCACCAGATAGGGTGGTGGGCCGGCCGGGTGCCTCCTGACAACTCCCAGGAAGGGAGTCCCCATGTGCTAAGGGGTCCATCAGGGCCCCAGGTCATCAGGTCACCCACAGTGGCCTGGTGAGAGGAGCCAGGGGCCAGCCTCGGCCCCAGGCAGGAAAGTCCAGCCAGCTGTGGGTCCTGTTGCTCAGGCCGGGAGGAGGGCCGGAGGGAAGAGGTCAGGGGAGCGGGCAGCCTGGGAGGGCGGCCTGGGTCGGGATGGGAAGCCTGGTCTCGGGAGGAGGGCTGGGCCTTCCCCGGTACCGTGGGAATGGGCTGGGCTCTCTCTCTGAGGTCCTCAGCGCCCTGGCCCTGCGTGGCATTTGGGTTGGTCTGAGGTGGCTGGGGTGGGGGCCTGCAGGTTTCCCTCGGGCCTGGCTGGCACCCATCCTTGGGCTGAGCCTGAGTGGTGGAGGGCAGCTGGGCCTCTGGCTCTGCTCGGTTCACCCCTGGGCCTGGGGAAGGGGCATCCCTCCCTGGTGGGGACTGCAGAGCCCACAGGGCTTGGGGGTGCCAAGCTCCTGGGGGGAAGAGCTGCCGGGGGAGTGGCCCTGTGGGTGGAGAAGGCTGCCTGGTCCCCTGGGCCACTTCGCAGGCCATGGCCACCCTGCCAAGGGAGTCTCCAGGGTTTCTTTACGGGACTCCTCTGCCTTTGGGGGCTCAGTCCTGGCCTGCCATCCCACTGCCCTCCTGGTGTCAGACCCAGCCCCAGGAGCCTCGGTGCTCTGGCCCTCTGTGGGGCCTGGGTGTGGGTCCTCGTCCCCAGGGCCTGGAGAGCACAGAACATCTGCTGGCAGCCCAGGTGGCCCCGAGCTCAGGCTGAGTGGCCAGGCTTGGAGTCACAGAAGCAGGGGTCCCAAGGAAGGAGCTGCAGACCCGTCCAGAGAAGGGTCCCTGACGGTGGCTGGCTCAGAGCCCAGTGCTGCTGTGTGGAGTGTGGACCTAGAAGGGAGCTTGGCCCTCAGGACCTGCCTTACAAGGAGTGGGAGGGAGGGGGAGTCCCCAGCTCCCGGCCCGGCCTCCGGAGAAGGCTTGTCTCCTGGTGGGAGCTGCAGCCTTTGGGGCTCTGGCCTCGGCCCCTTCGAGTTCCCGAGTGGCTCTCAGTCTGGCCTGCAGGACCATGTGCCTGAGGGCAGGGGGTACGAGGGGAGGGTGGGAGCCACTGTGCCCTATCCTGGGTGGGCCATGGTGATGCAGGTCCCCCGGAATTGGGGTGTCAAGTCAGCCAGCTGTGACACCTGATTCCCTGTCAGGGCACAGGGAAGSGGGGACTCTAGCTGTGCCTGATCCTTGCTGGCCTCTGTTCTGAGGGAACACTGCTCAGGGCAGAGGCCCACGCAGAGTGCCCCACCCAGGGCCTGATCCTGCCTCTTGAYTCCTGGGGACTCCCATGTCACACCTCTTCCAGGCCCTGCCACTCCTGGTATCCCTCCCCTGGCGGTTCACCATGGCTGAGGGGGACCAGCCTCTTTCCTGTCCCCAGGGTGTGGACTGGCCCTGGCTGGCCCTGGCTGTTGGACGTCTCTGTCACCAGCACAGGGGGAGGGGTGTACCCCAGCAGGAGCCTTGTGGCATCTAACTGTGTGGAGGGGCTTGCAGGGCATGGCGGGCTTGAGTCTGGGCTCACTGCCAGGAGGGGGTACTACCTGGTGGGGCTCCAGCCCTGCGACTGGGCAGTGGCTCTTTGAGGTGGGTCCCGCGGGCTCTTCCTCATCTGCCTCACCCCTGGGGGCTCCGAGGCTCACAGGGCCTGCCACGGCCATGGTGGGCCCCTCAAATCCCAGCCCCCATTCATACCAGGTAGCTGACCCACTTTGAGTGGACACCCACTTTGAGTGGACCCCCTGACCTTGGGTATGGGCCTCCTCCTGCCCCTCAGGATGCCCGTGGCTGCCGGGTTCGCTGAGGGCATGGTCTTTGGGGCCCTGGCCCAGGCTGCTGGCGGCTGGTACTAATGACATTGGTGGAGTTGCTGCCTCTGAGCAAGGACCCCTGGGATGGGGCCAGAGCGGGCCTGCAGGGGTCTGGGCAGCCCTCCCTCTGTACCAAGGCCCCTGGAGACGCGGGGTGTGGCTCTGTCTGAGGGCTGCTGTTGGTGGACATGGAGGTGAAAGTCACGGTGGCACGCGTGCTTCGGTGGTGCTGGCACATCCTCTGTGCAGTGTCACCGTCCCCTCTGTCTACTCCCAGAGTGTTTGCATGGTGCAGACCCCGCCCATCACCCTCACTCCCAGCCTGGGCCAGCGCTCACCATGGACTCGTTCCTTCTGGACATTCGCTGAAGAGTCGTGCGGTATGTGATCTTCCGGAACTGGCTTCGTGCACTTGGCGTGGTCTGAGGGATTCTCCGGGGAACGTGCTCTGTGCTGGACACAGGGGGCTCTGCCGGGGGCTGAGTGTGCGTTCAGGGAGGCGGAGGCGAGGGAGCGCCTAGAGGCAGCTGGCGAGGGCAGTTCGAGGGTCTTTGGGCAGTAACCCTTGGCCACGGGATGAACAAGGCCAGTCCGGCCTGAGGTCTGGGAGGGTAGTCACGGGGCAGCGGGCCTGTGCGGGGCCTCTGCTTGTTGTTATCTGGTCCTCTCCATCACCACCCCTAGCTGTGTGTTTTAGGGCTTGACACAAGCAACTCCATTTTGTTGGAGTTAAGCCAAAGAAGATGGAAATCTTGCCCTCCAGGAGCCCACGTTCTGGGGGGATCAGGCGATGGACAGACCGCGTGCCTAGGTGCCCCGGGGGGAAGGATGGGTCTCCAAAGGTGTGTGGGGTTGGGGTGCAGGTGGCAAACCCCACTGAGCAGGGAACTTTGAACCTGAAGTGCAGTGTGGGTCCTTCCATGACCGACCCCCACGCATGCCCGCTCTCCCTCTCTGTTCCTTCCCCGTGCCCTGATGGTAGCTGGGCTTCCTTCGGTGTCCCCACCCTACCAGCCCAGTGCTTGGCTCTGCCTGCTCCCTGGCCCCCAGCGTGGGCTGAGGACTGCCACTTCCTGGGGTGAGGCTCCTCCAGGAGGGCTGTTCTGGCTCCCATCCTGGAGGATTTCCTGTGGCCCCGCGGCCTGGGCCAGGTACCAGCCCATCCCTGCCCTGGGGCTTGCAGGCACATCTGGGCACATCACCCAGAGCAGAGTCACAGGGCTGCGGGCTCTCAGAGCAGGGCTCAGCCCGTCCCAGGAGTGGGGGTGCCCAGCATGGATACGCCTAGGCAGGGGAAGAGGGGGACCCCAGCAGCTCTGACGGTGACAGGGCAGAAGGTTTCATCCTGAGTACCAGGCCTGTGGCCCCAACGGTGCTGTGCCAGGCAGAGGACTTCTCCTGTGGGTGAGGGGAACCCTGAGGCTGTGGCCTGCAGCCTCTCACCCTGGTGCCCCCCAGGATCGTGGCAGGGCCCCGTGAGGTTGTCCTGCCCTGATGGAGTGGCCCAGTGCTCCTGTGGGCTGCAGGAGCCCAGCCGTGCCAGCACTGTGAGATGACTTTCGGGGTCCCTGACCTCGCCCACCTGGCCACTTGCCTTCTGTGGCTCCTGAATGTCAGGACAGGCCCCTCCCAGGCTGCTGGGCTGGCCTCTGGGCTGCCTCCCTAGGCGGGGCCCTGGCACCCTCCCTGAGCACCCGGCTCTGACCTCTGTGCTAAGGCCTCTGTCCCGCCCTGTGGAACTCTAGGAATTCCCAGGAATTCCCACTGTCAACCTCTGAGGCTGGGCTGGCCGCTTGTCTCAGCCACCARAGACTGCTGCCTGCTGTCGGGCCACAGCTTTTCTCACGGGATTGTGGCCATCCCTGAGACCCTGAGCCCAGCCGGGGGGCTTCCAGGGACCCTTCTGAGGAGGTGCAGAGAGAGATGCCAGGCCCGGGGGGAGCCTGGGGCTGGGTCAGGCCTGGGACCCAGCTGGTACCCAGCTCCGTGAGCTTCTCATGTGTGTCCAGGAGGGGTCTGGCTCCCCCGCCAGCAGCGGCACCTGACGAGGGGGCACATGCCTGGCCATCTGGCCATCTGTGCTTGGGGCRAGTCAGGGTCCCTACTTGCTCTGAGCCCCGCTCCAGTTCTGTTTCCCATAGAGCCGGGGGGAACCGGGGACTCTGGCATCTAGAGGTGGGTGGGCAGGAGTACCTGGACCTTGTGTTGGGCAGGTCTACACAGATATGAGGTCTACACAGGTGTGAAGTGTCCTAGGGACACCTGACTTTCCCTGAGAGCAGCCTTGGTCCCCTGGCCCCTGACTGGCTGAGTCAGAGGTGTGGGGAGGCAGTGGTGCTGCCCCTGCCCGGGACTGAGTCCCTGCATCCCTGCTGGCCAGGTGCCTGCTGCRGAGGCTCTGCCCACCTCTGCACCTGCACGGGCAGGAAGAGTGGGGGTTCTGCAGCGGGCGGCCGGGCTGCGTGTCACGGCTCTTGGCCTGCCCCAGGTCTGACCCAAGGCCCCTTGAGTCTAACTGACCCATGAGGGGAGGCTGGGCCTGGAGCTCTCACGATGGGTCCCAGGCAGCTGTGAGGGTGACTGTGGGGGCCCCTGCTGGCCTCCGAGATGAGGGCAGCTTGGTTTCCCTGGAGAACCTGAAGCTGCAGCCGACAGCTTGAGCTGCCTTCTGGGGTTCAGACCCCATGTGGCTGCTCTCATGGGGCAGACCTCCTCTGCCAGGCTGCCCAGATGGCATCTGCAAACTCGTGGCATCTGAGTGTGTTCCCTGTTGGGCAGCGTGGCTCAGGCCGCACAGTGGGTCTCCCGTGAGGCCTACCTGGCTGGACAATGTGCTCCGAGGCCCGGGGACCCTGAGCGTCTTTGGCTTCTCCCCTTGCAGATGTGGACGAGTGCACCAGTGCCAACGGAGGCTGTGAGGGCCTGTGCTGCAACACGGTGGGCGGCTTCTACTGCCGCTGCTCCCCTGGCCACCAGCTGCAGGGTGACGGCAAGACCTGCCAAGGTAGGGAGGACTTGTCCCACTGCCACCCCAGCTGCCACGTTCCTGCCCCACCTCACCCGCGAGGCTCCGCCTTCCCAGCCCCAGGCTGCTCTGGTGGGGGGACTTGAGGTCCTTGGGGTACCCAGACCCTCAGGGTGTTCCTTACCCCGTGTGCACCTCACAGTCTAATCTCCACCCCCAAACTGCCTCAGAGGACTCAGAACCTGATGTTGGCGGGAGGCACCCTGGGGCTGTGCAGGGGGAGGGAGGGGCTGCACAGGGAGCCCCGTGCCCGGCTGTGCTGGGAGGCACGGGGGGCGCCTTGCCTGGCAAGGATCTCAGAGGCCCAGGGCGGAAGTGCTGGCCAGCACTGGGCAGCCCCTGCAACCCCACCCCACCAGCGCTGGCAATCTGTCAGTAAGATCAAGACCAGACAGAAAGATCCCCGAGAGACAGAGGCCTTGAGCATGGAGGCAGGGAGAGGGGCCCCGAGCTCCCGCACCCCACCTGCCGCTCCCTCCGTGGCCCGCTCTAGCTTGACCCTGGGAGGCGTGGGGCAGCTTGGCCTTCGCAGAGGGTCTCTGAGCACAGGTCAGCGCGCCCCAGCCCTGCTCTCCCCGGCAGGCGGTCTCTAGAACATCCTCAGCTGAGCTCCACACTGTCTCCAGCTGTGCTCCCGCAAGCTGCCTGTCCAAGGGTGGGGGCCAGGCTGATGGACTCGGGGTTGGGGGAGACAGGAGAGGAGGAGGGGAGACAGGAGGGGAGACAGGAGAGGAGGAGGGGAGACAGGAGAGGAGGAGAGGAGACAGGAGAGGAGGAGGGGAGACAGGAGGGGAGA